CTCGGCAACAGTCCGTGAACCCTGATGCATGGACATGAGCAGCTTGGCAGCAGAGGCGGAGCGAGCAGGCACATCAAATACCCTACGAAAGGAGGCAACAAAACCGGCAAACTCGTGAATCACAGGGTTATTGTTCTTCCATAAGGGATTTGCCCAGGCCAAGGCATTGTCCGAGAGCAGCGAGATTAGGAAGCCCACCTTTGACCTCTCAGTAGGAAAAGCGTGGGGTATCAACTCAAAATATATGCCCACTTGGTTAAGGAAACCCCGACACTGACTCGGCTCACCCCCAAAGCGCTGTGGAAGGGGGGGCTGAACCAGTCATACCTCTGGGCACCGCAGGTGCAGCAGCAGATGCAGAGGTAGGCACAACAACCGGAGCAGCAGCGGGAGCTACCACTGGAGAGACAACCGGCCTAATTGCACCAGGAGCAAGGTGCGCTGTGCATGCAAGCAGCGTCTGCAACGCCTGAGCGAACTGATCCAACAAGAGATCCTGCTGATCAAGTCTGGCAACCAACATAGGGAGCGAGGGCGTACCTGCACTGTCAGGATTCTTGGCATTCGTGTAGTGTCAGGGAGCGAGGAGCCAGACACACAAGGAGGTGCAATTAAAGGTAGGTTTATTTACACAGAAACAAGGCAACAGTCTATGCAAGTCCGACAGCAACAGTGGATGACTTGGTAGGACAGAAGTTCTCCTGCCGAGGTCGTCTTCCAGGATAATCAAGTCGAGAACCAGCGGGAATCGTAGCCAAAGCCGGGGTCAGAAGCCAGGAAGAATGGTCGCCAGAGCCGGGGTCAGAAGCCAGGAAGAATGGTCGCCAGAGCCGGGGTCAGAAACCAGGAAGAATGGTCGCCAGAGCTGGGGTCAGAAGCCAGGAGGAGTCTTAGCCAAAGCCGAGTCGGTATCCAGGAGAGCAAAGAGTTAACTAAACAGGAGCTTGCTGCTGTGCAACAGACAGGACACAAATGCAATGGACAGCTGCAAACAGCAGACTTAAATGTGATAAGCCGCCACCTCCTGGGAGGAGCCGCAGAGGGCTGAAAGCATAAAGGATCCCACAATGCTTTGCAGACCCAAGATGGATGCCAGCACATGGAGCAGCACAAGCCCTGAGGAAAGGTAGGACCTTGATAGGTTGGCATTTGATTAACATTTATATCTTTTGATTTACTGTTGGATTTAACATACAGTTTTCACTGAATATTATTTAGGACAGATTTGCCTCAATGACTGATTTATATTTTTGCTTGATTACTGTACGTCTTTGATCCCTGTATTTCATAGCACATGTAATATGTTTATATTAAACAGGAATATTGTATATTTCACATGAATATATTTTGAAAGTAATTATTAATGTGACTTGAACATTTTGAATTGTTGTTCAACAGACCCTTTTGAAAAGCTTTGCGGGATTAGTAGCCTGAATTGCAGAATTTCACTGTTTGACAGGGAGCTAATAAACTACATTTCCTGGAAGAGCTAGCTAATGGGTGGGGGAGATAAGTACAGGAACCCGGGAAAAAGAGTACAGGAAGTGGAGGGAGAGGTGTGAGGAGAGGATCGTGCGGGTCACCAGAGGTCCCAGCTGGGCCAAACCACGGAGAGTGGAGGAGAGAGGGAGAATTGCTTACCACTGACATCGCTGACAAGTCGGGCGAAAAGCCCTGAGAGCAGGCGAGCTGGAGTGCTGCTATCCTGAGTGACCTCTGAAGGAGGAACTACAAGGAAATGGGAGCCCCTGTCTACAGAGAGACTTTCTGTCACCTGATCGAGACCAAGGACTGGGTGAGAGAACCCTGACATCAGCCTTTGAGAGCCCAAAGTGAGTTAGCCGCACTGTTTGGTAGTTTCTCTGCTCATTGAGGGAAGAAACATCTCAGGACTCAGGCTATTGGTTGAATTCTGAATTGCAGGACCTCTAGAACTGAGATTAATTTAAGATTATGCTATGTTGTGACCTTTACTTGAAGTTACTAGAGTGACAGCCGTTATCTCATGCACATATGTTCTGTTGCTTTACTTTGCCTACATTTGATCTCAATACACTCTAAATATTAGTTCATTCTAAACTGTGTGTGATTCTATTTTTATGGTTGCAGCCACAACATTTTTCTGGCCAGAGGTTTAAGGTGGTGTCAGCTGGGGTTGGGCTTCCAGAGTGGGATCAAGAAAGAAAGGGAACCCGAAAATTACACAGCGACCGTGGTGGGGGTAGTGCTATACTTTATTATACAGTATTTCTTATTAAACGTCACGTTGCAGGTGGCCTCCCTTGGAGCTTGGGTTCCCTGCTTAGGAAGGTGCTGCTACCACTCTGCTTAGGAAAGTGAACTGATGTGTTGTCTTTTGGAGTACTTTGCCATCTGACTGAGAAAACTAGCTTAAGCATAGTGTGGATTGGTTGGTTTACCTAAGCTAATGTTTGAAGTGACCACTCTGAATCAACACAAGTTCTGACTAATGCAAATCTGCTGGCTTATATCTAGACTGATAGAATTGCACACCAAGAGAGAAGAACAGTATTGTACAATCAATATGCAGCACTACTAAGCGGGAAGTACAGCCAGCATATGTAGTGAGAAACAAATAAACCCAAAATTACATTTATTATATTGCAGCTTACCAATTCTTAGATTCTTTTTAGGATTTCTCTCTTTTATTTGCATGTGGTGATTTTGCCAGTAAGTCTGTTGTTTTTCTAAAGAACAAACTCTTCTGCAAATGTTGTGACGGAAGTGTAGGCAGGACAGAACACACAAAGAAGATGGTAAACACACAGAGCTTTATTGAACTATGGAAGGCACTCAATCAGGGTAGGAAGGTAGCGTCCAGGTACCCAAAAAGGGGAAGAGAGGGAAGGAGCCCAAAATAATTGTAATCCGGCTCACGATAGGGCAATCTAGGTAGCGATGGGCCCGAGCACTCGGGGGTGGGGGCAGTCCAGGTAGCTACGGTACTCCAGACACGCAATAGGCAGTCCGAGCAAGTATTAATCCCGTCACACAATAGGGGCAGTTCAGGCAAGGGTAATCTGTGCACACAATAGGGGCAGTTCAGGCAAGGGTAATCTGGGCACTCACGGTAGGCGGCTTGCGGACACTCAGCAGCAGGCGGCTTGTAGGGACACTCACAGTAGGCGGCTTGCAGACGCTCAGCAGCAGGCAGCTTGTAGGGACACTCACGGTAGGCGGCTTGCAGACACTCACAGTAGGCAGCTTGCAGACACTCAGCAGCAGGTGGCTTCCAGGGATACTCGATCAGCAGACAGGGGGCAGCTTTCCAAGGACAACAGCAGGCTCACGGGGAGTCAGCAGGTTCTTGGCTGTGGGGTCTGACCTCAGCTCAGACCTCACACAGCTTTCCAGGGACAACAGCAGGCTCATGGGAACTCAGCGGGGTCTTGGCTGTAGGGTCTGACCTCAGGTCAAACCTCACACAGCTTTCCAGGGACAACAGCAGGCTCACGGGGACTCAGCTTTCCAGGGACAACAGCAGGTACGGGGACTCAGCGTGGTCTTGGCTGTGGGGTCTGACCTCAGCTCAGACCTCACATAGCTTTCCAGGGACAAAGCGGTCAGCAGCCAGGGTTCAGCTTTCCAGGGACAACAGCAGGCTCACGGGGACTCAGTGGGGTCTTGGCTGTGGGGTCTGACCTCAGCTCAGACCTCCCAACAGCTGTTCTCTCTCTCTCTCGTGCAGGGGATCAACACAACGGTCAGCTTGTCAGGGACACAGCAGGCTTGCAGGGACTCAGCAGAGTCTTGGCTGTGGGGTCTGGCCTCAGCTCAGACCCCGCACAGCACCCTGTCCCGAACAGGGGACGAACACACAAACTGGGTCCCGCGCCAGCCTTCTTAAGCTGGCTCAGGATGCCTGCCCAGGGGCAACGAGGCACGCCCCCCTCACTCGGGCCGCACTCAGGGAGCACGGCCTTTGTCTCCAGCGGGCGCAGAGCGCGGGAAGCCTTGTGCCCATGCTACGCACCAGGAGGGGCACCCGGAGACAAGTCAGCGGCACTGCGCAGGAGTCCCCTGGTGGGGGAGTCACCCCTCTTCCGGCTAAATGGCTGCCATAGGGATCACTTTCCTCCCATCCTGCGTAGCCTGTCTTCAAAGGCTGTGGCAGGATGCGAGGACCTGAGAAGGGGGGGTGAAGTGACACGGAGGGGACATCAGGCACAAGGGGGGTGGGGGAGGCACGGGCACTCTGTAACAGTAGTAATTAGAGAGATGAGACAAACAATTTACCATGGAGTGGGGTGCTTACAACTGTCAGCTTTAGCAGCTTCTGGTTAGCACTTCTGCCTCACAGCACTAGGGTTGCCTGTTTGAATCCCAACCACAGCACTACCCATATGTTCTCCCTGTGCACGTGTGGGTTTCCTCTACGTATTCTGGTTTCTTCCCACACTCCAAAGATATACAGGTAGGTTAAGGGGATCCTGTCTAAATTAGCCCTAGTATGTAGGAATGTTATGGACCTTAGGACAGGGACTGATGTGAATGTACAATATATACACTGTGTATGTATGTAAACTATTGGTGTTATATAAATACCTGTAATAAATTAATCATATCTCAAAAGAAAAAAACTAATTGCGGTGACTGCTTATAAAGGGTAAGCTGGAGTTTAGTTTCACCTAGTGTATAGAAATCTGACATACATCTAAACACTCCCCCCCCCTCCACCAGATTATCAATGCTGCTGTCAAAATATGTCTCTTGTGCTCCTTCATCCAGAGTGTAGGAGGTGTATTACTGGCCAGATCACCAGGTGAAAACAGAGGGTAAAAAGAGAAAACAAATGCAGCCACCACCTCTAATGATTGGTAAGCTGCAATATATTACATTCTTGTTTGGGGTTTAATACTACTTTAAGCTGATCACATAGACATTCATAACTACAAACAACTTTACTAAAGGTTTTCTTTGAACTACAAAGAAAAAAAGACAGTTTTTATTTTATTTCTATAAAGTGTTCTTTTTTCCAGGGACTTTGAAGGAAATAATATTCCAGCCTTAAGAAACACAACTTTCAACTCCTGTGTTACTTTAACTGTTTTGTAAGTATTCCCTTTGCTAATTCTTCAGTAAGCCCCTATAAAATATTATGAGTTGTCATATTGTACATAGTTTAGTATGAAGGCTGTTTTGTAAGTATTACCTTAGCTAACACCTCACTACGTACTCATAATATATTCTGTCATGTTGTCATGTTGTATATAGGTAATTCAGTAAGAAAACTGTATTTACAAAATTAGCCAAAAATTAAAAAAATAAATCTTAGACTTGGAAATGGACGGTGCTCAATCATTTTAACTGACTGAGAAACGAATTAACCTGGTTCAGCAGCTTGTCCTCTATCCCACTACCTAATTCAAGGAATGCTTGTTAATACTTTTAAACCCATAGTCCTAAACATAAGAAATAAGATCTTAAAAAATGTAATTACATCTACGGAACAATTCCACCCAAGCGTACTTCTCCATGTTGGGTATAGCTATGCAAGATTCCACCCCTATCTGGTTTTCATTGCTGTCCAGCAAAAAGATCTTTTCTCACCCCTGATATGACTTGCCCATCCTTGACTACTGTTGTCAAGGTAGTTTCCATATATGCCTATGAGGAATCTAAAAGCGGGGCAGAATGCAGTGTCTACTAGTGAATTTTCCACAGGATATAGTATATGGAGAATTCACAGGCCAGGGATGATTGCTAATCTGAAAAGTTGATACTGGCAAAAGGTTCAACTGAGGTCCTGGACAACAGTGAAGCAGCAAAGGGGGATCAAATTGTGCCCAATGTCATCCAAAATGCAAAAATACAGTTTGGGTAGAGTTGCTCTTTACCGAAAACTATAAGCATAAAATTAACTGTTCTGCAAAAACAATTGCAGGGTTTAGCCCTTCTTCCAGACAAAATATGTGACCAACACACAGTGTTTTGGAAAAAGTATTATTTTACATAATGATCACTGAGCAAATTTTTTAGCCTTGGATTTGCAAAGAACTAGGGTGAAGTAATCTGACACGATGTAAAGGATTAACATAAATTAACATTTCCCTTATGCTTCATATTTAGGGAATAAGTGTATTCATTACTAAACATGGCATTGGCAGCTAAAGTAAATCTATTTATCATCCTATCCTATTATACAGATTATTTCACCAGCTATTTTTCAAATCTCAAGAAATATTTTTCCTGCACAGAGCAAAATTAAATGAACACTAAATGTTATTTTGTCTTAAATGAAGGCAAATATCCACTGTATGCATGAAATTGCAATGCTTAATGCAAAGCTTTGCTAGATAAGATTAACATATCAGCATTATGTAAATGTTATTAAAATCTTGCCTCATGAGAGGTACTCTAGAAAACCGAGAATGAGAAACCAAGAGCAGAGAGCATCTGCAAAAGCCCGAATACCAATAGTATAGGGCTCATCTACATATTTGCATTGTGTTACCTTAGCCCATTGGAGTGCCAGTCAAAATGTATGACAATGGAAATTTTGAGCATTACCCCGTTTTGTGTGAAAGGACCCTTAAATATTATTACATATTTTCTTAAATCCATGAAGAAGAAAATAATCTCAGTTTCTCCTAATGTTAGAAATTCTGTATACGGGCAGCACAGTGGCTAAATGGTTAGCAATTCTGCTTGGAAGTACTAAGGTCATTGGTTCAAATCCTAGCCACAGCACCACCTGCCTGGAGTTTGTATGTTCTCCCTGTGCCTGCGTGGGTTTCCTCCTACACTACAAAGACATGCTGGTAGGTTAATTGGATCCTGTCTAAATTGTCCCTAGCATGTAGTCCTCTCCTCACGCTGACAGCGTGTGAGGAGAGGAAAACCAGTAAGCGGCATTTCTCAGGGGCACATCTACACAGATCCTAGATTACCAAATTTTCCAGAAGGGCACACTGGACTGCTGAAAATGTGGTATAGAAACCACCTGCTTCCCATCTCTAAAGCAATCTGAGTGCCCCAGTTACCCAATTCAAAGTCCACTGTAAGCTCCAGCCTTAGGCTGTGGTCTCAACGGCAGCATCTAGCCAATTACCCTCTTGGGGAGAAGGAAGAAAGTGATGATGAAGAGCTAGTATAAGGGAATTCCCGTGAGATGGCTGGTGAATAGACGTGCGCATGTGCACAGAAATGCGCGATCGCGCACACTCACGCACACAGCAAAGATTGGCGCCAGACGGACTATTTAAAAGTTGCCTCTGCCTGTGCTGAGTGCTGACTGGTCTTCAGCTGTTCCCCATTTCCTGCTCGTTCCTGTGTGATTTCCTTGTTGCTGATCAGGCTTGTTCCTGACCTGACTTTTGATTACTCTCCTGCTTGATACTTGTTCCTGACCACGGCTCTGCTCCCGAATTTGGCATGCTTGTGATTTGGTACCTCGCTGTCCGACCGTTGATGACCCCGACTATTCCTATGACATTGCTCCTGTCTTCCATCCCAGCTTCCTGCTTTGCTCTGGTGCACGCCTGGTGATCTACCATACCAGCTCTGCATATCGCTACTGTTCCTGAATCGGTGGTCCATCAGTCTTTTAAGGACTCCAGCTGCAAGTGCTGCAAACAAAATCTGCTGGCACTCTTGTCCCCCTGGTCCCTAGACACCATCTGTTCCACTTCCAGTGGGGTCAGGGCTAGTGACACAAGTGAGGCCAACCTTGTCATTTCAGTCTCCAGTGAAGTACGTGGCAGCTAGCGATCGAACGACCACTCCAGTGCAGCCTAGCCAGTCCCAGTCCAACTTAACTAGGAGGATTCGCATTGCTGAGCGCTGTCTGTTAGAGTGTTTTCTACACTAAAATGTCTGAACCTAGAGTGTCAGAAGGGTTGAGAAGTTTGCAAGCACAGAGCAACAACCAGGGACAAGCATCAATTAGCAGTTCCCACAGCGGTAGTGCTACACTTGCTTTTTGTGTATAAAATAGTGGTTTATCTGCAGAGGTCTGACATGTCCCTGGAGTCAGAGCTAGGGATTTCCAATTAGTCCAGAAGGGCATGCTGGGCTGCTGAAAATGTATTACTACCACCATATAAATCCTTCACATATTGACACACTGAATTTGCATAAATATAAGTGAAATAGAGCCCTGATGAAGTCACGTGACAAGCGTGACGATACGCGTCGGCGGTGATGCACTTCCGGTCAGACACCATCTTGAGACACCTTGGACATCCATGCAACTACATCTGATCTTAGGTTTGAATTAAATGTGATGGGAAAGATGATATATAAATGTGAGAGCACATTAGATTGTATTACTGCTGTATCAGTGAATAAATGGTTTTACACTATGCAAGTATTTACTTATATTTTCTGAGGGATTGAGTGGCTATTTACCATCTTATTGCCTGGAGAGGAGATCTGATGTGCTGTGAGCCTGTATTTGAGCCTGTACTTGAGGGGAGACCATTGTGGAGAGCTGTGGAGGAGTCCCAAGTATTAAGGATCCAAGTATTAGTGATCCTAAAGGCTCTTTGACCCTGTGTGGGTCGCAAGAGGGACATGAGCGGGCAATTCAGCCACTTTGGATATCTTTGCACACCTGTCATCACTTTGTGTTTAAAGAATTTATGTGGACTTTATTTTGTTGATTGCTGATAAGTGTTTTTTCACTTCACAGGACTTTTTTACTATATTTTACTATATTATCTGTTGTATTATGCATTTATATATGTAAATTTTTTGCATGATTAGACTTCATTATATGTTTTTTTGGAATGCACTTATGATTTTTTTTTGTGTGGTTGGAACAATTTATTTGTTCTGGTGGGAGGTTTTGCAGCACGCATTTATGCCGAGTCCCTTTTTGGACTTTTGTTGTCTGTTGATCACTATTAGATCCATTTGGATCATTTGGGGCACTATCAGCCTAAGCTTGGTCCCTAATTGGACCTGTTGGTTGGCACTTGTTACACGTGTTATTGTGTGAGATAACTTTACACTGTTGTCCATCACGGTTTATTAATTGTTGATTTGGTCTTTGTTCACTCATTTGCACTATTTCACTTATATTTATGCAAATTCAGTGTGTCAATATGTGAAGGATTTATATGGTAGTAGGGCCACATTACTTTTTGTTTTGTTTTATTTTTCATACTTGTCTATAGGTATATGACTGAATGTTGGCAGCTTTACCTCTGTGATACGCTGATAAGGCTTTAGTTAGGAGTGCAGGAGGTCTATCACATTGAAAATGTGGTAAAGAAACCACCTGCTTCCCATCTCTAAAGCAATCCGAGTGCCCCAGTTACCCAATTCAAAGTCCACTGTATTATTATTATTATACAGTATTTATAAAGCGCCAACAGTTTGCTCAGCGCTGTACATTAAAATGGGAGACAGAACATGCGACAGTACAATAACAATACAATGCGATACACGAGGGGTTCGAGGGCCCTGCTCCTTGGAGCTTACAATCTAGGAGGGAGGGGATAGTGGTACAGAAGGAAATAGCTGTGGGGGATGGAGTGGTAGGAAGAGTGGAGGATGTCGGGAATTAGCAGGGGGTGGGGTAGGCTTCCCTGAAGAGGTGGTTTTTCAGGGTGCGCCTAAAGGAGAGGAGAGTAGGTGATAGTCTGATGGATTGGGGTAGGGAGTTCCAGAGTATGGGTGACGCCCTGGAGAAGTCCTGGAGGTGGGCATGGGAGGAGGAGACTAGGGAACTAGAGAGAAGGAGGTCTTGTGAGGAGCGGAGAGTGCGTGTAGGGTGGTACTTGGATTTTAGGTCGGTGATATAGATTGGGGCAGTATGATAGACAGCTTTGTACATCAGTGTTAGGATTTTGAATTTGATCCGTTGGGCAATCGGAAGCCAGTGGAGGGATTGGCAGAGGGGGGTGGCGGAAATGGAGCGATTGGTAAGGTGGATGAATCTGGCTGCCGTATTCAGGATCGACTGAAGTGGGGTTAGCCTGTGGCGAGGCAGGCCAGTGAGGAGGGAGTTGCAGTAGTCGAGTCATGATATGATGAGGGAGTGGATGAGCTGCTTAGTGGTTTCTGGGGTTAGGAACGTGTGTATTTTGGCGATGTTGCGGAGGTGGAGTCTGCATGAGTGTTAGTGATAGGACTTGGGGCTGGAAGGATAGATTGGAGTCAAGAATGACACCAAGTACTCTGGCCTGCGGGGCGGGCCTGATGGTGGCATTGTTGGACGTGATGGAGAAGTCACTGGGTGGTGGTGTGCGGGCTGGGGGGAAGACTAGGAGCTCAGTTTTGGAGAGGTTCAGTTTAAAGAAGTGGAGCGACATCCAATCTGATATGTCATTCAGTAGGCTTGTGATTCGGGTGGAGACTGAGGGGGTGAGGAAAGGGGTCGAGAGATTTGGGTGTCGTCGGCATAGAGGTGGTACTTGAAGCCATGAGAGTGTATGAGTTGGCCAAGGGAGGATGTGTAGATGAAGAAGGGAAGGGGCCCGAGGACAGAGCCTTGAGGGACCCCAACAGAGAGGGGGAGTGAGGGGGAGGTGGTAGAGTTATAGGTAACGCTGAAGGAGCATTGTGATAGGTAGGATGAGAGGCAGGAGAGAGCGGAATTTCTGAGGCCAAGGGAGTGTAGTTTTTTGAGTAGGAGGGGGTGGTCGACTGTGTCAAAAGCCGCGGAGAGGTCGAGGAGTAGGAGCACTGAATAGTGGCCATTAGCTTTCGCGGTTAGCAGGTCGTTGGAGAGTTTGAGTAAGGCGGTTTCGATGGAGTGAAGGGAACGGAAGCCGGACTGTAGGGGATCGAGGAGGTTGTTGTCGTTGAGGTGGGAGCTTAGGCGATTGTAGACTAAGCGCTCGAGGAGTTTGGATGTGAATGGCAGCAGGGAGATGGGTCTAAGGTTGTTCGGGGTCAGTTGGGTCCAGGGAGGGCTTTTTAAGTATGGGGGTGATGTGCACATGCTTCTGAGGGGAGGGGAATGTGCCGGAAGAGAGGGAGAGATTAAAGATGTGGTGAGGGAGTGTAGGATGGAGGAAGAGGAGGGCGTAGGAGTTGAGGGGACAGGGTCGAGGGGGCAGGTGGTGGGATGGGCTTCAGAGAAGACATTGGTGACCTCCTCAATGGTAGTAAGGTCGAAGGAGTGGAGTGTTGAGGGGGCTTCAGTGTGAGGAATGTTAGGTGAGGTGGAGGTCTGAATAGTGGTGAGGCCGAGGGAGAGTGGTGATGAGGGGATGGGTGGGGAGAAAGTTTGAGCAGCGGCGATGTCCTTGCGAATTGCGTCAATTTTGTTTTTGAAGTGATTGGCAATCTCAAGGGCGGTGAGTGAGGTGCTGGGTGGAGATGGGGGCAGAGAGAGTAGAGAGTTGAAGGTGGAGAAGAGGCGGCGAGGATTGGAAGAGAGGGTCTTAATGAGGGTCAGGAAGTAGGCTTGTTTGGCAGTGTGGGGAGAGGATGTGTAGGTGTGGAAGGCAGATTTATAGCAGGTGAATGCTAGTTGGGATCTGGTTTTGTGCCATAGTTGCTCCAGCGCATGACTGCGTCGTTTGAGAGTTTTGGTGTGATCAGTCTGCCAGGGCTGGAGCAGTCAGGGTCTGATGTTTCGTGTGGTTAAAGGCGCTAGTGAGTCAAGGGCGGTTGACAGCGAGTTGTTATAGGCGGTCATGGCCAGGTCGGGGCTGGACAGGGGAAGGATGCTGTCGTAAAGTTGATCAGCTGTAGAGTGGAGGGGGGCCGGGTTCAGGTTGCGGAGGTTACGGCCGGTAGTAGTATGTCATTTGGAGGGGTAGGCGTTAGAGGACAAGGAGACAGAGAAGGTAATAAGGTTGTGGTCAGAGAGAGGGAAGGGGGTGTTTGTGAGGTTGTGGGGAGCGCAGAGATGGGAGAAGACAAGGTCCAGGATATTCCCATCGGAGTGGGTGGTGGATTGTATGCACTGTGCGAGTGCAAAAGAGGAAGTTAAGTGGAGGAGTTGGGATGTGGCCCGCGTTGTCGATGTTGACAGGGATGTTGAAATCCCCAAGGATGATGGCGGGTAGCTCGGAGGAGAGAAAGAAGGGTAGCCAGGCGGAAAAGTCATCAAGGAAGCGGGATATGGGTCCAGGAGGCCGGTAGATTACAGCAATCCTCAGGGGGTTGGGGAGAATAGTCGGATGCAGTGGGCCTCGAAGGAGGAGAAGGACAGAGAGGGGGGGAAGGTGCTGTGTGGTGACATGAGCAGACCAACCCCAACACCTTTACGACCGTTGGGTCTGGGTGAGTGGGTCCAGATGAGACCTCCATAGGAGAGTGCTGCAGGGGAGGTAGAGTCAGTGGCTTGGATCCAGGTTTCCATGATCGCTAGGAGGTTGAGGGAGCGGGAAACAAAGAGGTTGTGGATGGTGGTGAGCTCCAGCCTTAGGCTGGGGTCTCAATGGCAGCATCTAAACAATGACCCTTCTAGGGAGAAGGAAGAAAGTAATGATGAAGAGCTAGCTATTGATTGGCTGTGGCCATCCTCTTCAGACAATAGCAGTATATCTCCTTCCAGTGGGGAGATCAGAGACATGACCTCAAAGCCAGCAGAGGTGATTCCACTACCATCAGATAACTCTGTTGGGAAAGTTGCCAAAGCTGTCAGTTCCCCTACAAGGAAAGTCATTGAGGTTCGTGATGGTCCTGATGATGAAGGCCTGTCAGCCAGGAAACCTCAGATACCCTAGAATCCAAACTCTGGGAGCCCTCAATTCCAGCACTAAATCCAAGGCCTTGGAGGCTGAGTCAGGCTCAAGTACTGCCAATGCAACTCATGAGTTTGAGCCGAATCCTTGTGAATCAGACTGTGAACCTGAAGTCAGAGACACTATAAGTTCAAGATTGAGAGAGGATATCCATGTATGATACTCTAGGTAAGAGCTCAGAAGAGCTTATACTCACTACTCAGTGTAGCAGTCATACTTTATACCTCACTTCATCAGGTAGAGGTTGGCCTTAACTAATCCCCTGATACTACTAGGAGGGTTACTTATGTCTTCGGTGCACATTCCTTAGTAAGCTCTGTCTCATTTGATGATCTAAACAAGCTTTTACAAATAGATTCCGATGTTTGCAAGTTGTTTGCAAAATTGTGTTGCGGTTGAAAAAAAAGTTATCTAAATGTGTACTGTCAAAATCAACTTTGTTTAGATGTTCAATGGATGCCTAATCTAAGCAGAGACTTAGATTAGGCATCCAGGTATATCTTGAGAGGACCAAAAATTTTCAAGTGGGGGTAGGATGTAGCCAGGTGGTGACTATGCCATCATGGAGTAAGATATCATTCGGGGACAGTTGACCTAGCATTTCCCTCTATTGCCTGTCTTACCAAAGTCTACCTCATTTCCTGTCAGCAAAGTGAAGAATGACTGTCCTGGATAAAGCAGAGAATCTTGGGACATGTAGTCCCAGTTTCATTGGACAATAGGTTACCACACCACTTCTTGAACTACACACCTCCCATGTGGCTGAACCGCAGAATGGGCTGATGGCAGAGACTATATATTTGACTGAAAACAATGGGCCCACTCTCTTTGTCCGGGGATTCCAAACAGAGCTGCTGTTCTGCACCTAACGGACATCACACCAGTGCAGCCTAGCCAGTCCCAGTCCAACTTAAGTAGGAGGATTTGCATTATTGAGCGCTGTCTGTTAGAGTGTTGTCTGCACTAAAATATCTGAACCTAGAGTGTCAGAGGGATTGAGAAGCTTGCAAGCACAGAGCAACAACCAGGGACAAGCATCAACTAGCAGCCCCCACAGCGGTAGCACTACACTTGCTTTTTTGTGTAAAATAGTGGTTTATCTGCAGAGGTCTGAGATGTCCCTGGAGTCAGAGCTAGAGATTTCCAATAAAATGAAAAGTGATATGCTAAGTTATTCTATGAGCATCCAATTTTACTTGACATCATCCAATACTTATAATGTATTGTTTATGAGGACACAGCTAAATTCTTTTTTAATTTTGGATAGCGTGGGAATCCGTTATAAACTCACCAAAACTGGATGGGAAAACTTTGTCACAGGAACACAGGAAAACATAAAAACATAACAGTTGCTGAGCTTCCTGTACTCTACAACTAAAAGAAAATGTGAACTTAACACTTTAATTCAGGGAAAGTATATTCATTTTAAATGAATGTCTCTATTGTTCAAGCATAGAACGGGATCCAGCATTCCTGACTCCATAACATTTGTTTTTACAGAGTTCTACGAAAGAACAGAATCGGTACAATAAGTGACAACACCTTTTCATATCTCTCCAGGCTGGATGAGCTGTAAGTACAGTATGTGTCAACTTTACATTTTACATGGCAGTGTTTGTATAATACAGCATTGAAAATTTTTTGTTACCATGACTACTAAAATAGTCCATAGTATTTAGCAAAAATAATTACTCTCTACTTTACAAAAGTCTAAAATCTTTAGTACAGGAAATCTTGAAGCCTAACTCTGGGGGATTTTAAAATTATCCCTTGCAATGCAATGGTTAAAAACTTGTTTTGTCTAGGCGAGAGAAGAGACATCTTTTCCTATGACCTATTTTTAAAAAAAAACACTCATCTAAAGCATACCCTAAAGCTGGCTGAATGACAAAAGACTAACAGATTCCCCATCCACTCAAACAAAGTAGATGTAGGATACCCCCTGACAGCGTATTATGATAGCTGCACCCACAGCACAGATCAGTGGCTGAAACTGCTGATTGAGATAAAATTTCCAGCATGTCCCTTTGACAGAAGTAAACCAAGCGATCAACTTCTGTTGCACGAGACAGCCACATACAGTTGTGTTCAAAATAATAGCAGTCAGACATCACTAACCTGATCAATCACTGTTTTTGGTAGAAATGATATTTCTACATGGCAAATCATTTACTAGCAGGTGTAATAGAGTAATAGAAATCCACAGACCCAACAGTCATGACATGCATGCTGTTGATTCTGTGTAATTGAATCACTAATTGAAAGGGGCATGTTCAAAATAATAGCAGTGTGGAGTTCTATTAGTGAGGTCATTCGTTCTTTGAAAAACAGGTGGCAATTATTGCCCTTATTTAAGGAAGGAAGGCAGCAAATGTTGAACATGCTGGTTACAGTGCATTTCTCTCTGAAATTCTGAGGAAAATGGGTCGTGCCAGAAATTGTTCAGAAGACAGCGTACCTTGATTAAAAAGTTGATTGGAGAGGGGAAAACATATAAAGAAGTGCAGAAAATGATAAGCTGCTCAGGTAAAATTATCGCAAATGCTTTAAAATGGCAACCAAAACCTGAAAGACGTGGAATAAAGCGAAAAAACTACCATTCAAATGGATAGAAGAATAGCCACAATGGCAAGGACTCAGCCAACAATCAGCTCCAGGAAGATCAAAGAAGGTCTAAAGTTGCCTGTGAGTACTGTTACAATTAGAAGATTCCTATGTGAAGCCAAGCTATCTGCAAGAAGCCCCTGCAAAGTCCTACTGTTGAAAAACAGACATGTGCTGAAGAGATTACAATTTGCCAAAGAGCACATTGACTGGCCTAAAGAGAAATGGCGCAACATTTTCTGTACTGATGAAAGTAAGATTGTTCTCTTGGGTCTAGTGGCCGGAGACAGTTTGTCAGACGACCCCCAAACACTGAATTCAAGCCACAGTACACTGTGAAGACAGTGAAGCATGGTTGCGCAAGCATCATGATATGGGGATGTTTCTCATACTACAGTGTTGGGCCTATTTATCACATACCAGGGATCATGAATCAGTTTGAATACATCAGAATACTTGAAGAGGTCATGCTGCCTTATGCTGAAGAGGAAATACCCTTGAAATGGGTGTTCCAACAAGACAACGACCCCAAACACACCAGTAAACATGCAACATCTTGATTCCAGACCAACAAGATTGACATTATGGAGTGGCCAGCCCAATCCCCGGATCTTAATCCAATAGAAAACTTGTGGGGTGACATCAAAAATGCAGTTTCTGAGGCAAAACCAAGAAATAGAGAAGAACTGTGGAATGTAGTCCAATCATCCTGGGCTGGAATACCTGTTCACAGGTGCCAGAATTTGGTTGACTCCATGCAACACAGATGTACAGCAGTTCTCAGAAACAGTGTTTATACAACTAAATATTAATTAAGTGATTCAAAGGAAAGCAAAATCTTCAAACATTTTTCAGTTTATATAGTGAATGTTTGAGTTTGTAAAGAAGAATACAAACACTGCTATTTTTTTGAACAGTCTAATATTCACTTTTCTTCAATTTATTTAGAGGAATAACACAAATTTGATATATTTTTCTTCATGTTTTGATTTGGAATAGAATGTGTAGTGTTCCCAATGCATTTGTGTGTATGGAAATAAAAGCTATTAAAAGGATTTTGAACTTTATTCACTTTTTTCAACACACTGCTATTATTTTGAACACCACTGTACATCTGTGACCTGGACAAATAAAGTGACCATGTCGCCTGCAACAAAAATCTTCCCATTTTTGATCAATAATTTTTGCTGAAGGTTAAAGAATATGTACAAGTGAACAGTCACATTCTGAATCTACAAAATGGAAGAGCATAACATAGCATGGAACTTCTTTGACGAAAAAAACTATGATAATGAGGTTACAATGTTTGGTCAAAAAGATCTAGCAGTATTAGCGCTTAAATCTGACCAAATACACACGACTGGGTGCAGTTATTTGTTGGTAAGAAAAACAGAGGGCAATCATAGGAGTGTGGTGTGAAGTGAGAGCTTTGAATCCTAGGTGGGTCTGCTCCAGTCCCTTAGACTAGAATAGTCAAAGGTCACAGATTTATCAGGTGGCTGTTGACGTCTGTTGGTAGGTTGTGTGGGACTCACGAGTCCAAGGTTTTCTTGAACTTAGCTATAGTATCCAAAAGATTCACTGTTAGTTTCTCAATAGAAAATGTCCAGTGAAGCAAGGATTTCATCCAAAATACTGTATCTAGTATAAGGCCCGCCCTGTTATAAAGGAGGCTGCTAGCAGAAATGTTGAAATACAAAAACCCTATGGAACCATAAAGATAATCACCTGCAGCGCCATGCAGTCAGAATGCAACAATTATTCACAGAGTGCAGTTATTAGTTACATAGCTACAGTATATAAAGTGCAAAAAACAAACATAAATATAAATACATCAATCCTAAAGTAAAAAAAAAAATCATAAAAATAAAGTATATATGTATATATATATATAATATATGTATATATATATACCATGTTTATTTTTCGCTCCATAAGATGCACCTGACCATAAGACGTGCCTAGGTTTTAGAGGAGAAAAACAAGAAAAAAAATATTCTGAACCAATGGACTGTTCAGAAAAAAAATATTCTGAACCAATGGAAATGACCGGAGACTGCAGACACAGTACAGGAGATGGCCAGAGACTGCAGAAATAGTACAGGAGATGACCAGAGACTGCGAACATGGTACAGAAGATGACCAGAGACTGCGGACATAGTACAGAAGATGACCAGAGACTGCGGACATAGTACAGGAGATGACAAGAGACTGCGGACACAGTACAGGAGATGGCCAGAGACTGCAGACAGCCTACAGGGCATGACTAGAGACTGCGGACATAGTACAGGGGATGACCAGAGACTGCGCACAAAGTACAGGGGATGACCAGAGACTGCAGACACAGTACAGATGACCAGAGACTGCGGACATAGTACAGATGAGCAGAGACTGCAGACAGTACAGGGGATGACCAGAGACTGCAGACAGTACAGAGGATGACCAGAGACTGCAGACAGTACAGGAGATGACCTGACCAGAGACTGCAGACAGTACTGGGGCTGACCAAAAACTGCAGACAGTACATGGGATGACCAGAGACTGCAGACAGTACTGGGGATGACCAGAGACTGCAGACAGTACAGGGGATGACCAAGAGACTGCGGACCTTTGTGGAGGGAGGGGGAGCGGGTGCCTGCCACAGCCGGATGCCCACACTAAAGATGCCGGCGACTGTAAAGCGCTGGACCGAGGAACAGGTAAGGTCCTGCTTCAGAGAAGAGTTGAGTGGCCGGCCCGGTATTCTGACATGGTGGCGGTGGAAATACCAGACCGGCCGCTCCATATTCACTCCATAAGATGGCCAGAGACTGCAGACAGTACAGGCTTGACTAGAGACTGCGGACATAGTACAGGAAATGACCAGATACTGTGGACATAGTACAGGAGATGACCAGAGACTGCAGACATAGTACAGGGATGACCAGAGACTGCGGACATAGTACAGGGGATGACCAGAGACTGCGGACATAGTACAGGGCATGACCAGAGACTGCAGACACAGTACAGATGACCAGAGACTGCGGACATAGTACAGATGACCAGAGACTGCAGACAGTACAGAGGATGACCAGAGACTGCAGACAGTACAGTGGATGACCAGAGACTGCAGACAGTACTGGGGATGACCAGAGACTGCAGACAGTACAGGGGATGACCAGAGACTGCAGACAGTACTGGGGATGACCATAGACTGCAGGCAGTACTGGGGATGACCAGAGACTGCAGACAGTACTGGGGATGACCAGAGACTGCAGACAGTACAGGGGATGACCAAGAGACTGCGGACCTTTGGGGAGGGAGGGGGAGCAGGTGCCTGCCACAGCCGGATGCCCACACTAAAGATGCCGGCGACTGTAAAGCGCTGGACCGAGGAACAGGTAAGGTCCTGCAGAGAAGAGCTGAGTGGCTGGCCCGGTATTCTGACATGGTGGAGGGCGGAAATACCAGACCGGCCGCTCCATATTCGCTCCATAAGATGCACTGACATTTTCCCCCCTTTTATGGGGAAAAAAGTGCGTCTTATGGAGCGAAAAATACGATATATATATATATATATATATATATACACACATATACACACACAGTGCTCAGCATAAATGAGTACACCCATTTTGAAAAGTAAGATTTTACTCAATATCTCAATGAACACAAAAATTTTTACAAAACCGAGTTTTATAGAACATGTGTCTAGCTCATTATATGAGAGTAAGGTTAACTAGAAAAGCTACAATTTCTGGGGAAATTGTGTGAAGTGTTCTTGCCTCCACCAGTAGTCTACAACTGGAGTGGGCAGAGTAACTGGGTGGAGTAGCTTGAGTAACTGTTGTGTAACAGCTCCCACTCTAGTTTTGAACATTCCGCCATTCATTCCTATGGGACCAATGTCACCACAAAAAATGCCGATATTTCGTGAACCATTCGGCGAAATGTTCCACAAAGTAATAGCACACCAATCGGGAACAATCCGCACGTTTCGGTATATTACTGTCTATGTACTGTAAAAACTGTGGGAGGAGTTAGGGTGGTAAATTTGGCTATAATAATAAGAATATATACTGTATGTGAGATAACAGTAAGTGGTCTTGCCATGCAAGAACACTTAATACTAGAAAAGCTACAATTTCTGGGGAAATTGTGTGAAGTGTTGTTGCCTCCACCAGTAGTCTACAACTGGAGTGGGCGGAGTAACTGGGTGGAGTGTCTTGAGTAAATATTAAAAATGAAGGCACAGTCGGAGTTTAGAAATTGCCCTTTAAATTTGAGGTGGCTAGAGTGCAGTTTCAATGAATGTCAATGGGCGGCGTGAGTTGCAAACAAATGGTCATATTGTGAAAACTATCAGGATTCCTTCATTCATTCCTATGGGACCAATTTCACCACAAAAACGGCGATATTTCGTGAACCATTCGGCGAAACGTTCCACAAAGTAATAGCCCACCAATCAGGAACAATCCGCACGGTTCGGTATATTACTGTCTATGTAGTGTAAAAACTGTGGGAGGAGTTAGGGTGGTAAATTTGGCTATAATAATAAGAATATATATGTGAGATAACAGTAAGTGTTCTTGGATGACTTAGATTATAAAATCTTCAGTTCTACTCAAATTAATTGATGCAAAAATTATTACATCCCACAACAAAAACTACTACATGTAGAATTTTGTATGACCTCCATGATTTGTAAGGACAGCATCAAGTCTTCTAGGCATGGAATGAACAAGTTATGGACATATTGCAACATCTATCTTTTTTTCCATATTTCAAGAACGACCTCTTTTAGGCTACGTTCACACTAGCCTTGTGTGCAGGTGGCAGAGAGGCGTTTGGGAAGCGTTTTTACCGCTTCCCAAACGCCTCTGCCAATTCTGCACATTACAGCACATGGTGCTGTTCTAACGGGAGCATTTGCGTCGCGTCGCGGCAAAAGGGACGCCTCTGGTCGAGTCAGGAGGCTTTGAAGCCTCCTATTCTCGTCTATGGTGCCGCTCTGCAAACGCCCGGCCGGCGTTTGCGGTGCGGTTGTGACGCGGTTGCGGGGCAATAACACCACTCAAACTGCATTATAGGCGTTTGTGGGGCGTTATTAACGCTCGGCAACCACCTAGCAACCATCGCTAAACCGCGCATGCGGCGTTTGCGAAGCGTTTGCCGAGCGTTAAAAAATGCTCCGCAAACGCCGGACCAACGCCTGCCAAACGCTATAGGGGCGTTTGGCAAGCGTTGGCAAAACAGCCTAGTGTGAACGAGCCCTTAGAGCCTGGATGCTGGATGGAGAGTGATGCTCAACTTGTCTCTTCAAAATTCCCCAAAGGTGTTTGATTGGGTCAGATCAGGAGACATACTTGGCCACTGAATCACTTTCACCATGTTGTTCTTTAGAAATGCAGAAGAGTTGCCTTAGATGTGTGTTTTGGATCATTGTCATGTTGGAAAGGTGCACAACAACCAAGGGCACAGAGTGATGGTAGCATCTTCTCTTTCAATATATAGCAGTACATCTGTGAATTTATACCATCAATGAAATGCAGCTCCCTGACACCAGCAGCACTCATGCAGCCCCACAGAAGGACACTGCCACCACCATGTTTCACTGTAGGCACCATGCATTTTTCTTTGTACTCCTCACCTTTGCAATGCCATACAGTTTTGAAGCCATCAGTTCCAAAAACATTTATCTTTGTCTCATCACTCCAGAGTACAGAGTCCTGGTAGTGTTCTTCTTTTTTTCCAGCATGGGCCCTGGTAAATTCTAGGCAGGCATTTTTGTGCATGGGCTTTAGAAGAGGCTTCCTTCATGGATGACACCCATGCATGCCATTCCTCTGCAGTGTGCACCATATTGTGTCACAGGAAACAATCACTACAGTTTGGCTTTTTACTTCTTTAGCTAACTGCAGTAAACGTGCATAGCAAATGTCTCTGTGAGATGGTTGCAGTTCCATCTTTGTTTTATTTTTGTATCACTTTTGCTACAGTATTCTGACTGATAAGTAAAGCTTTGCTGATTTTCTTGTAGCCTTCACCTTTCTTGTGTAAAGAAATTATTTTCCTTCTCAGGCCTTGTGACATTTCTCTTCCATGTGCTGTCATTGCTGAAGCATGAAATGGGAAGGGGTTTTCTTAGTTAGGTAATGCTCTTTTATAATCACCTGTCTGCTGGACACCTGTTTGATGAATAATTAAACTCACCTCTAGTTGAATTCTTGTTACTTATGCAGGCCATAGACGGGATGTTTATCGGCCGAATTGTCGGCCGAACTTTTAGTCGGCCGATATGCACACCGTTAGTGGGGCAATGTTGTCGGGCGATTTTTGCGGTTCTTTTCATTTCTTTTTATCGGTCATGCTGGAAAATCTATGAAAAAAAAACGGACATTTTTCGTAAGCATTGGTGGCAGCAATGACCAATTTTTCGTTTATCGGACGACAATTCAGCCGATAAACGTCCCGTCTATGGCCAGCATAAGGATTTTGTTGTCTAAAATGTAGCCCTGCTTCTAAGACTTTCATTGGGGTGTATTCATTTTTGAAACATGGTCTTGAATGAATTTTTTAGAAAAAATACTTGTTTGTGTGTGCAAATTAACAAATCTTGTTTGCAATCAATGGTCCGCATTTGTGGGAGTATTTTGTTGTATAGTGTTCCATAGAATATGTTGATTCTGAAAGGGAAGTAAAGGTTTTCTGACAGATCTGCTGGGGTGTACTCATTTATGCTGAGCACTGTATATAAAAATGCATAAAGTGCCAATAAAGTGCAAAAAAGAGCCACGTTTTAACTTTATTTAACAAAAGTGAGTTGGCCAAGATCTCACTATAGTATCATTCATGGTCATCAAAAGTTTAAACTGCTGTTTTGAGATGCCAAGCATTTATTGTGTTTTATTCATTTTACTTACCTGTTAAAGCCTCTCTTAGGTTAGTGACAGGATGTCTTTAATATTTACCTGTCTCCAGAAATATTGCCTTTAACCCCTTAGAGCGTATACAATCTAATGTGGCTCATTCCTTAAAGATCAGAACTGAGCTAAATAAATATTGTCTAAATCAAGATTCATATGTATTCTTACTTTAATCTTAGACTCCTTTGTGCATTTCTTCAAATTGTATGTAATAATACAACATGAAACAACTCCTGCACTTCTGATTGTGCAGGGTGACTGGTCTTGTCCACCCTGCTATAGTTCTCTGCAGACAGCCTACAGGGGGAGGACCTGCCGGGTCCCACCTCAGCTCTGCTTTCAGTACAGGCTAACCACAGCATGGTGATGATGTTATCAGTACTTTTCCAAGGTAATATCTGGGTTTGAATAAACATTTGGTGCACATAAAGCAGATTTATATACTTTGTGGCTACTGAGGAGTATATTTAAAGAAAAAGTTTTATGCCTTGAGTTCTGCTTTAACTGTTTGCACCTGTTTTATTAATTCAAGGCTAAATCGCAGGAGCTACCATTATACCAAAAATGCTTTCTGACAGGGTTTTTGATAAAATTGCCCAGTGTCATTTTCAAAATACATTGTCTGTTTCTATATTCTTCACTAAGGGGTTGATTTACTAAAACTGGAGAGTGCAAGCTGTAAATAGTAACCAATCAGCTTCTAACTTCAGCTTGTTCAAATAAGCTTTGACAATAAGGCCCCTTTCACACAGGCGGACCCGTCAGTGGATCCGCTTGCTCAGCGGGGAATCTCTCCCCTGATCCATACCGAGCAAATGGATGACAGGTCTGTGTCCACTCCACTGCTGCAGAGCGGACACAGAAACAGCCCGCTGTCCTCTATGGGTAGTCGGATGGAAACAGACTGCCTCTCCGTTTCCATCTGACTGCCATCCGATCCGATTTGATGGACAGAAGGGGAATGGATCCCCATCTCTTTTAGGTGGATCAGATTGGATGTTGGAGGGTTGTAAAAGGAAACATGTCCATTTATACCCGCCACTCCATAGAAGAAAATAGAGGTTCTGATCAGGTCCACCTGAAAAACGGACAGGTGGCCCTGATCAGAATGTCCATGAGAAAGGGGCCTTAACCTGGAAGCTGATTGGTTTCTATGCAGAGCTGTACCAGATTTTGCAGTCTCCAGTTTTAGTAAATAAACCCCTAGGCATCTGGGATACTAAACTAAGCATCGACTTTCTAGCTGATATTTTTCTAATAAGTTAATGAAAGGAAGACTGTGATTTTCTGGTCTTACCAGCAGTGTGATTTTATGATATTATATATACAGTACATGGGGCGCCATGGCTTAGTTCATAATGAGAGAGTATTTTTTTTACAGTGACTTGGCACATAACAAAATAGAAGCATTTGATCCATCTTTACTGAAGGACTTGAAAGACCTGTCACAATTGTGAGTTTTTATGTAATCATTTTCTCTTATGTAACCTGCAGTCAAACAGTTTACATGATAGAACAAAATATGTATTTATACTTACTGTGCTATGTAAAAGCTAAGTGCTATGTAAAAGCTAAAATGAAAATCCTTTGGCATCTCGGTTGGATCATATTGTTGATTTAATTACAGGATACTGAATTTTCTTACTGGGTTGATTTGAAAGCTATGATATTAAAGAGCAACTCTCAGAAATGTGTATGTGGATATAATGCACATAGGTTCTTGCTATGCTTTTTTTTGCAATTTTCTTTTTAAACCCTTAACTAATGGTTGCACATCATATTGTCAAAAGTTACCATCACCCCTATGCAGTATTGAGAAAATGTGATTTATTTGTTGTTTTATTATATATTCTGACCTTTCCAGTGAATAGTACTGCTAATGCTACAGAAATTTAAGAAAATTGTGTGCATTCAACCTTGTGCCAGTGGTTTGGGGAATGTCCTTTTCTGTGCCGGCATGACTGTACTCCTATGCACCAATCCATGTCTATATGGATATGGTTTGATGAGTTTGGTGTAACGGAACTTGGGTGACCTATACAGAGCCCTGATCTCAACCCTTTCAAAACACCTTTTGGACGAATTGGAATACCAATTGTGATCCAGGCATTCTCATCTAACTTCAGTACCAAACCTCATAAATGCTTTTTTAGCTAAAATGGGAACACACCCCCAAAGACACACTTCAAAACACTATGGAAAATATTCCCAGAAGATTTCAGGCTGCTGTAGCCAACAGAGGAGTCTCTATGCCCATGGGTTTTAAAAGAATGTCCAGAAAGCTCCTATAGGTGTGATGGTCAGGTGTTCACAAACCTTTGGCCATAGCATGTACCTGATGGCAATGCACTCTCAGACACTATATCATATGGGCTGGAAAATTCACAGTTTTTGCTTTTAACTGTGCTAATTGAAGCTCCCATTCCCTGCAGAATTTTGCAGGGAACCTTCCAATGTTGTATGCAACTTCTGCAACTCACATTATACTCCCAGAAAATGTAGGCTGCCCCAAATTAGGACAGTATTGGGCCAAGGTGGTAAGGACTCTCAATGGACTCTTAGGGGTGAATTTGCTGGTTTACCCTCTTACCTGTTTATTTGGGCATGTTGATATATCCTTAAATGATCAAAATGTACAGCTCACTGTCTTGTGGGCATTAATTATAGCCCATAGATTATTTGTCTTTAGGTGGACTTCCCCTTGGCCGCCTTCTCTTTGGATAATGGATAACAGAGCTTAATAAATACATTTCCTATGAAAAATATACTTATTATCTTAGGAATGCTACAGTTCGAGTTTGAAGCAATATGGTCCCAGTGGACACAGTATATGTATCCTAATTTTTGATAGGGATTATTTGTTGATTATCATACTCTTATGATAGTTATGCTCTTCCTTGTTTTTTGTTCTGTTTTTTTTTTATGTGTTGTGTTTTTGGCCTGTTTGTTCTGCCTTGCGAGGAGGGTGGTTCATTAATAAACAACAGATGCCATGAGAGTTGAGGATTCCCATATTGTTAAAATAGCCACACACATTACAATCTGTTTCTTTGACCCTCTATGTACTGCATTTACCAACTATGTTTTGTAAGGGACCTTCTGATTGGATATAAATTTAATGGATTGTTCAAGTAGGTAATTTCAATTCATAATATTTGGTAACTACTATGGGAATTGCACAATTAACTATCTCTCCAGACAAAATTAAAAACTCTGTTTTGTAAGTTTCTAACAACTATTGTACATTCAAGAAAGCTCCTTTAAAGCTTTAGTATAGCTAAAATAATAAACCAGAAAATCAGCACAAGGGACATAAGTTTCACTCAGTAGGAAGTGTCCCTTGTACTGACAACTCTTTTGTTAGTAGAAATCCTATTCTGTCAAGACCCCCCTCTCCCCCCAGCTTAATCTTTTGGTGTGGTGAGGGTTAGTACAATTAAGGGGCTGTCACAGGCTCTCATCAAGAGTGCCCGACTATGCCTGCCATTTCTGCCCAGCTTCTTCATTAATAGAAGCCTTACTACAGCTTCTATAAATGAAACACGATCTAGAAATAGAGAAGGGGGGACCTTTAAATCATCTGCCCATCCTTCATTCTTAGATCATGTTTCTTTCATACAGAGGATACTGAACCATTGATATTGTGAATCTACCACAAATGGATGACGCATAACAATACAGAGGGATGGAGCATGAGCATCAACAGATAACTGTAGTTGAGCAGCAATTGGAGATGGCCACTGTTTCCAATCAAACTTTAACTTTGTATCACAGACATGCTTACTGCACAACTGGATTGAACCATACGGATAGATGATGAAACAAATTTCCCCAACTGTCTTATCTCCAGATTCCATGCTGCCATTGTTTTTTTTATAAAATAATAACTATGGTAAATAATCATTAAAAAATAAATAATATACTGTATTTATAAATTAAAATACATCTTATAATAGCTGTCCAGTAAAAACAATTGTGGCTATGTAGTAGCCTAGGTCTCAGTGGAGGCCAAGGGGGCTAAGCTACAACAATTATGCTTGTTTATTAAACCAGGGTGGTGGTGTAATTAGTCAAAGCTGTGCACCTACCTGTCACTTCACAAAGGAAGATGCACTTGAAGACAGTTGAGGGTTGATTTACTAAAACTGGAGAGTGCAAAATCTGGTGCAGCTGTGCATGCTAGCCAATCAGCTTCTAACTTCCGCTTGTTCAATTAAGCTTTGACAACTAAAACCTGGAAGCTGATTGGTTTCTATACACAGCTGCACCAGATTTTGCACTCTCCAGTTTTAGTAAATCAACCCCAAAGCTGATACCTTGCCTAAAGCTCCAGTATCCCTTAAGTTCCTTTCACACTAATGCAATTTCTGATGCAACTTGAGTCACACTGTCAAGGAATGCGCATATCTATGCGCAGGCGCAGAACCCCTGTTAGCCCTGCTCATGGCCAATTAGCGAATGCGCGTGCGCAATTGCGCACACAGGGGTGCACCAGTGCGCAACGGTGAATGGGTGCCAGGCGGGCTGTTTAAGCTGGGCTAGTGCCTTGCAGTAGTGCCGTTTGGTCTATTACTTTTGAGCACCCGTGCATCCTGTTACCTGTGATTCCGTTGCTGATCTGATCTGTTCTTGACCCTGCTTGAACGCTGCCTGTACCGACCCCTGCCTGCCCTTTGACTATTCTTCTACCTGCGGTTTATGCTTACTCTGCCTGCTAGTTGCTGACCTGGACTGCCTGACCTTGTCTTAATCCGCTCCTGCACCTGAACTGGCTTATCTTTACCAGTATCTGGCTCCTGCACTTCTGCCTGTGTGCCATCTGCCAGTCTGCTCCTGCACCTTTGCCAGAGTCATTTGTCAAGCCGTTCCTGCACTTCTGCCAGTGTGCCATCTGCCAGCTGCTCCTGCACTTCTGCCAGTGTGCCATCTACCAGCTGCTCCTGCATTATTACCAGTGTGCCATCCACTAGCTGCTCCTGCATTCCGGACGCACATCAACATCCATCTGTAGAAGTCCTACCAGGCACACGTGCACCTCTGTGCTCCGGCACTCCCTGTTACTCTACCATGGCCTCTGAGCCAGAGCTGTAAGGGAGGCCTTCCTCTGCACTTCAGGTTCTACCACCAGGCACGTTACAGTACCAAACAGCCATGTCAGAACCTGAAAGAGGGGTCTCCCTGCTTAATGAAATCTGCCAGCATATCACTGCACTGATTCAGGCTGTCAAGAATCTTCAGGAAGGTTATACCCAGCTCAAGAGCCGCCTCCAAGCCCTGCTTGCACCTGCAACCTTGACCACTACAGCTTCCGCCATTTCTACGCATGTCAGTTATATTTTGCGTTTCAGCCCAGCACCTTTTCACTAGAAGCTAGCAAAGTGGGATTTGTAATCTATCTATTACAAGGGGAACCTCAAACCTGGGCTCATCATCTCTTGGAAAAGGAAGATGCCGAGCTGACTACCTTTAAAGAGTTTCTTCAATGAAATGATACAATTGCACAACTACTCATGGCCGAAATTGTTGGCACCCTCAATCCTGAAAATCAAGTTCAGCAAAAAAGGTATTGCAGCACATGTTTTGCTATACACTTTTTTCCCTTTCATGCTCTTCAAAACAAGGCAGAAAAGCATGGCATAATGTACACAAAAACTAGGCTGACAAAAGTATTGAATTTAGATTGCTGGAGCACACCCTGATACATAACTGAAAATCTGGAATGAGCTTGCTGACACCTCTCACCCCTCTTGAATTTTGGACCACCAATTTTGCTCCAGGGACTCTTGGAACCCCAACAGCAAAAGATGAATGGGATTTAGATCTGGGCTCATTGCTGGCCACTTCAGAACTCTCCAGCGCTTCTTTGCCATCCATATTCTGACCTGCTTTTAATGTTTGGGGTCATTGTCCTGCTGGAAGACCCAGGAATTGCTTTCTGACACTGGGCCCTACAGTGCGACCAAAATCCTTTGGTAATCCTCAGATTTCAATGCCTTGCACACATAGGCACCCAGTGCCAGAGGCAGCAAAACAACAAAACATCTTGTGAGAGGTCCTTTGGCCTCATTCCCGTAAACCTAGAATATGTGCTTTCCGGGAATGCCTATCTTGGCTTCACGACTTTTTCCCAGAAGGCTTTTGGCTTACTCAAGTACATTTTGGCAAACTGTAGTCTTGCTTTTTTATGTCGGGTGTCAGCACTGGGTTCCTGCAATTTCATTTCATTTAAAATGTCGACGGATAGTTCGCGCTGGAGCTGACACTGATGCTCCCTGAGCCTGCAGGACAGCTTGAATGTCTTTTGAACATGTTTGGGGCTGCTTATCCAATCCGGACTATTCTGCAGTTGCAATCTTTCATCAATTTTCCTCATGCCCGTACCAGGGAGATTGTACAGTGCCATGGGTTGCAAACTTCTGATAATGCAAACTAGTTCTCTGGATGGACTTGTAACCTGAGAAGATATTTATGTTCTCAGGAATTCTTGTCTCCTCTTTCTGTTGTCCATGCTTAAGTGTGGAAAGGTTAAGTGAACACTCTGCCTCCTTTTTATCACTTTCAGGTGTGATTTCCTATGCCCAATGTTACTTGCCCCCAGGAGCATATGCTTTGTAACATTCTTATTTATCCGCAGTTGTGAAAGGGTGCCAATACTTTTGTCCAGCCCATTTGAGGTTTGTGTGACAGCTTATGTCGAATTTGCTTTCTTTCCTCCCTTTTTTTTGTTTTGTCCCAATACACACAAAGGAATAAACATGTGTAAGAGCAAAACATGTGTTAATAATACGTTTTGTGAGAAATTACATGATTTCCTCAGGGTGCCAAAAATTTCGGCCATGACTGTATCATGATGAGCCACCTCAATGTTCACTTCAGCAGACCTGCTCTTCAGCAAGGTTGCAGGGCAGAGAGGACTATGTGACTGAATTTAGATGCTGGAGCTCTGATACAAGCTGGAATGATGCTCACCAATTTTGCCTGGGACTCTTGGAACCCCTGAAAGATGAACTAGCCAGGGTGGGGGTGTCAAGTTCTTTAGAAGGACTAATTGACCTGTCAATTCAGACCAACCATAGGCTCAGAGAGCAACACCTTGTGAGATCCACTGGCCAGACCCGACCTGTAATCTTGGGAATGCCATGGCTTCAGGCACATAATCCTCATTTCAACTGGGCAACGGGAAGTAGACTTCCAATCTGCCTATTGTCAGGTGCATTGCCTGACAAGGGATACAGTTCAGACTTCCACACTACTATGTATGGACTCTGATAATGAACTTCACCTGATAGCTCCTGAAGTATGCCAGGAATTCTTGGATGTATTTAACAAGAAAGGAGCTGACACTCTGCCACCTCACAGATCCTATGAATGTCCCATCAAACTGTTACCTGGGGCAGAAATTCCTTTTGGTCCAATTTTTCCCCTGTCTGAAAGTGAAATAGAGGCCCTGAAAGAATACCTGGATGACAGCCTCAGCAAAAGATTTATCCAGCCATCTACTTCACCTGCTGGAGCAGGGATTTTCTTTGTGGAGAAAAAAGATCAGTCTCTTCGACCCTGTGTGGATTATAGAAAATTAAATAAAATCACGGTAAAAATTGATACCCCCTTCCCCTAATCCCTGAGCTATTCCAGAGACTCAGAGCTGCTGCAGTCTTTACCAAATTAGACTTGCAAGGGGCTTATAACCTTGTACTAATTAGGGAAGGGGATGAATGGAAAACGGTTTCTGCAGCACCGGTTCGGCCATTTTGAATACCTAGTGATGCACCAGCAACGTGTCAGTACTTTGTCAATTACATTTTTAAAGACTTCTTGGACATTTTGTCATTGTCTATCTTGATGATTTACTGGTCATTTCTGTTTCTCTGGAACTACACCGTGTTCCTGTTAAAAAAGGTTTTAAGTCGGCTTTGACAGCATGGATTATATGCCAAACCAGAGAAATGCAAGTTTGAGAAACATAGCATCCAGTTCCTGGGATTGATCATCTCCACACAACGAATTAAAATGGACCCCCAGAAAGTGTCTGCCATCCTGGACTGGCCTGCTCCTACAGATAAGAAAGGAATCCAGCGCTTCATCGGCTTTGCAAACTTTTATCGGAAATTCATCAAGGGGATTTCCGCTATTATCGCCCCAATTACATGGCTAACCAAGCAAGGTGCATGTTTCTGCTGGTCCCCAGAGGCACAGGCTGCTTTTGAAAAGTGGAAAGGTCTATTTACTCCCGCACCCATTTTGAGTCACCCTGATCCAGCACTACCATATATCTTGGAGGTCGATGCCTCTGAAAAATCACTTTGGGCAGTTCTGTCACAGCACAAGGGGTTAAAAACTTTACTACATCCCATTGCATGCTTCTCACATAAACTCTCAACTGCCGAGAAGAATTATGATGTTGGTGACCGTGAATTGCTGGCAATCAAGTCTGTTCTAGAAGAATGGCGGTACCTTCTGGTCTACACTGATCATAAGAACCTGGAATACCTGAAGACAGCCAAAAGACTGAGACCTTGTCAGGCCAGGTGGGCACTGTGTTTTTCTCCAGATTTGTGTTCCATATTACCTACAGACCTGTAGCTAAAAACACTAAACCAGATGCGTTGTCAAGCATGTTTGATGACCCTAAGCAGTCACCTTACTCAGATACCATCCTGTCAGCTGGGAAATTATTTTTGCAGGCAGCCGTCATCAATCAGATTAAGCAGGCATCTGTAGGAGCCTCCTCACCCCCGGGAGTTCCCCTGTCAGCCAAGGAAGGATTGCTATGGTGGGAGGACAAAATCTTTGTGCCTGAAGAACTCCGTTTAGCGGTGCTAGAATTGTGCCATGACAACCCACTAGTAGGGCACTTTGAATCCACAAGACCACTGATTTGATTCAATGCCTGTTCTGGTGGCCTGACCTGGCCAAGGATTGTAAGTCATATGTGAATTCCTGTGTCAAGTGTACCTGTAGCAAGAGCAGCAGAAACAAGGCATGGGGTTTGCTCAGGCCCCTTCCAATCCCTGATAGACCATGGAAGATGATTGATATGGATATTATCGTGGAACTTTCACAAAGGATATGCTACTATTTTTGTGGTGGTCGACCGATTCTCCAAGATGGCCCATTTTCTGCTCATGAAGGGTACACCCTCTGCATTGGAAACAGCAAGGGTTTTTGATAGTGCGACTACATGGTACTCCTACCAATATCGTATCAGATCAAGGGGTCCAGTTCACATCCAGATTCTGGAGGGCGCTCTGCGAAACCCTAAAGATTGAACTTTCATTCTCATCTGCATATCACCCACAAACCAATGGGCAGACATAGAGAACAAATTAAACCCTGGAACAGTATATCCGCTGTTTCACATATTTCTCTCAGGAGGATTGGTTATCCTTATTGTCCTTGGCCAAGTTTGCAATAATGCTATTCACTCAGCAGCTAAGCAATCTTCGTTTTTTGCTAATTATGGATTTCACCCATCCTTTCTTTTCAATGAGCTACCGGAATCTGCAATTCCAGCTGTCCAAGACACCCTGTGCCCATTCACATCAGTGCGACTCAACACGGTATGATTTAAGAAACGTTTCCTCTGCTACTTGGTGCAACTGACAGTGCAACTTGTCCCCATAGAATAAACACAAAAAACACAATCACGTTGTATCAAAGTCACACTGCATAATTGCATTAATGTGAACCGAGCCTCAGTCTATCGCTTCTTCTATGCATAACATAGTTACCCCAACAGTTACTCAAAAAAATAACAAAGTAGACTAATTGTATGTTTATTTTGTGTCACTTTAAGAAAGAAAATTTAAAGTATATTATGATAGTTCTTTGTCACCATTATGCACTATTTAACTGTATAATAATATCACTTAATGTTTTTTTTATTTTTTTAATATGTACAGGAATATTTCCTACAACCCTTTGCAGAAGATACAGGCAGACCAATTTGATTATGTTCTTACATTAAAGTCCCTGTAAGTATAATTTAGGGTGAGGTGTTTTAAACTTTGATACTTTTCCTCAAATAGTGCTTTAGAAAACTGATCTGATGATTATTTTAACCACTTGCTCTCCTGAGGATTTCCCCCCCTTCCTGACCAGGCCATTTTTTGTGTTACGGCACTGTATTACCTTATCTGACAATTGCGCGGTCATGCAACGCTGCACCAAAATGAAATTTACATCCTTTTTTCCCACGAATTGAGCTTTCTTTCAATGGTATTTGATCGCCTGTGCGTTTTTTATTTTTTGTGCTATAAAAAAAAATAATCGGACAATTTTGAGATAAAAACTATTTTTTTACTTTTTGCTATTAAACATGTCCAGTAAAAAAAATTAAAAAAAATCAAATTTCATCATAAATTTAGGCCAAAATGTATTCTGCTACATGTCTTTGCTAAAAAAAAAAAACCAACACTTGTAATTTAAATGGGTTACATGAAAGTTTTAGCATTTACAAATAGCGCTATAGATACTCAAAATTGTTTTTTATTTTATTCTTACTAATAGTGGCGGTGATCAGTGACTTATAGTGGGACTGCGGGACTGTGGTAGGCATTCTGACACTGGGTGGGAACTGACTTGGTGTCCCTGACATCCCCAGTGACACCAATACAGTGATCAGTGCTAAAAAAAAGCACTGACACTGTACTAAGGGCACTGGGCAGGAAGGGGTCAACATGAAGGGCGATCAAAATGTTAACTGTGTGTCTGTGCTTCACTGTAATCACACTGCTTTGGATGGCTGTGCAAAGTACAGCCATCCAAAGCAGTGTACACGAGCTGACAGGGAGGAGAACTGTATTGTTTACATACAGTTCTCCTCCCTGTCAGAAATGCTCGGCAATCACTGGGCACCGGCGCATGCCCCCTACCCAGTAATATATGTGATATTGCACACCAGTAACACCCTGTAGCAGTATACCTGCTATAGGGTGGTTGGGAAGCGGATAAATGTTACTAAACCCACAACAGCAAAATCAGTCTGTGTACAGACTAAAGCATGCTTGTTATACTCACTGAGGGGTTAATCCTTTGCACTGTGTAAAAAGGGTGTTTGATCCGGTCTTCTCTGATGCTTCCCTTCTTCTACTGTCTCCAATCCATCTGCTGATAGAACAGCTTCTCACCTTATATTCAAGTCCAAACACAAATGTATTCCAATTGTAAAATACTCACAAACCCATTGTGTTTCAGGGGCTTGTCTCTGCCACTATCATCAGGTCTAACGAGAAAAATAAAAAATAAAAATTATAACACATAGTTTAAAGAACTGAAGAACAATGACTTCAGAAATCTGGAGGAATATCATTTTAAAATAATGCAGTGGTGATGATAGTCCACTTAATAACTACATATATTATATGGCACTAAAACTGGTGCTGCTATTAATAGTATTAATGGTTATTATGTGATATTCCACATTAACCCCTTCCCGCCGGAGCCTCCAGACCCTTTAAGAGTTTCAGAAGCCAGGAGTCGGGACGGGCGGGGTTTAGGGATCATGTGACCACCGTGACATGACACGTCATCACGGCAGTCACATGATCAGGAAAGGTCCCGATCGATAGAGCAGACCGGTACCTTTCCGTGAGTACTGGACATGTGTACTGGGAGCGTGCAGGGTGCGTGCTCTCAGCACATATGTTTTTTGTTAATTGCACGCAAATGTGCGGCCCGCTCGGCATCTAGGCCTAGACGCCGGGAGGCCACACATTTGTGTGCGGCTGGCGTGAAGAGGTTAATCTCTGTATTAAGACTAAATGTGGACCATTATTGATTCACAAACATTCCTATTTGTAGTACCACTGATTTTTAATATCATTATCATAACCGATTTAAATATTTGAAATCATTGTATTCTTATTGATTTCTTTGTTCTTTATCTCTATAAACTATATGTTATAAATTTTATTTTTAACTTTTCATATTCCACGTTAGTCCTGATTAAGGGAGTAGAGATACAGCCTCTGAAATGCGTTGATGTTGCAAACATTTTACAGTTGAATTATACTTGTGTTTGGATTGGAATATTACAATGTGGCCTTTCAAATTCCTAATTACACATACAGTTGTGTCCAAAATTATTCAACCCCCAATGCTGTAAAGGGGTTTAGGGACTATAGTGTACATTTGGAATTGTATTCAGAATCAAATCCTACAAGGACGTTGTGTAACTACCCAAATGCAACTAAAATGACATCAATTGTTTATGTAATACAGTAGTAAATGGTTCTTATGTGGTTTCTTCATTGCCACAATTATTCAACCCCTTAAAGACTACCACTCTGAAGAACAGAGGTTCATACAGGTGCTTTCCATCAGGTATTGAAAACACCTGTGGATGTCACCGAGCAGCAATCAAGCATAATAAGCACCAATTAGGCAGCTTTAAAATGACTGTGATACTCAGCTCCTTCTAGACATTTACTGGTGTGGTTACAAACATGGTGAAGGCAAGAGAATGGTCCAGGAAGACAAGAGAAGAGGTGATTTCTCTTCACAGGAAGGGCAATGGCTATAAGAAGATTGCAAAGATGTTAAACATACCAAGAGACACCTTAGGAAGCATCATTCGCAAATTCAAGGCAAAGGGCACTGTTGAAACGCTACCTGGTCGTGGCAGAAAGAAGATGCTGACTTCGACTGCTGTGCGCTACCTGAAGCGTAGAGTGGAGAGAAGTCCCCGTGTGACTGCTGAGGAACTGAGAAAAGATTTGTCAGATGTGGGTACAGAAGTTTCAGCCCAGACAATAAGACGCACACTGCGTAATGAAGGCCTCCGTGCCAGAACTCCCAGGCGTACCCCCTTGCTGTCTCCAAAGAATAAGAAGAGTCGACTGCAGTATGCCAAAAGCCATGTGGACAAACCACAAAAGTTGTGGGATAGTGTTCTGTGGACTGATGAAACAAAATTAGAACTGTTTGGGCCCATGGATCAACGCTATGTTTGGAGGAGGAAGAACAAGGCCTATGATGAAAAGAACACCTTGCCTACTGTGAAGCATGGTGGAGGGTCAATCATGCTTTGGGGCTGTTTTGCTTCTGCAGGTACAGGGAAGCTTCAGCGTGTGCAAGGTACCATGAATTCTCTTCAGTACCAGGAGATATTGGATGGAAACGTGATGCAGTCCGTCACACACCTGAGGCTTGGGAGACGTTGGACCTTTCAACAGGACAATGATCCCAAGCATACCTCCAAGTCCACTAGAGCATGGTTGCAGAGGAAAGGCTGGAACATTTTGGAGTGGCCATCGCAGTCACCAGACTTAAATCCGATTGAGAACCTCTGGTGGGACTTAAAGAAAGCAGTTGCAGTGCGCAAGCCTAAGAATGTGACTGAACTGGAGGCCTTTGCCCATGAAGAATGGGCGAAAGATACCCGTAGATCGCTGCAAGACACTTGTGTCAAGCTATGCTTCACGTTTAAAAGCTGTTATAACTGTAAAAGGATGCTGTACTAAGTACTAAGATTGAATGTCACTTGGGGGTTGAATAAAACTGATAATGCTGTGAGCACAGAAAAGACATTTGTGGTTATTTCATTATAACTGTTATGTTATATTTGTCTGACCTACAAGTGCCTCTTTAATGTAAATGTAAGCAAGATGACTGAATGATCAAAAGCAATGTCAAACTGGCCAAAACACTCAATTTCAGTGGGGGTTGAATAATTTTGGACACAACTGTAGTTTTGCTGTCTGGCTGGGCCGAGTTCATTTTAGGACTGGACTAACAGAATTGCAGCTCCCATATTTGTGTGATCAATAAATAAGTAAGTGGGAATTTCATATACAGTAATACATTACTAAAGGAGGCATTATCCCTCATGATGTAATGCACAACAAAAGAATTTACATATGAGACTTTGTATATGCCTCCAAAAGTGCATAAACTCAAATTAAAAGATATATCCAATTTTTAACTTCAAAATCACATTAAAAACATGATTCACATACAACTGTGTGTTTAAAAAAACAATGCAGTACTTACATAAGAGGTCATAACTTCATCATCAACTTATGAGTCATCTATGGCAGTTGTAATATCAATATGGTCAATGTGGTAGGGTCAATGTGTTTCGTGGGAGCCCCTTCTTCTTCAGGACCTTATAGACATCATATATATCTGCATATGATACCAATACAACAACAGCTGAAAGTAAGCAAAATGTCAAAATGAGTACATAACTTGAAAAGGCATTGACACATAGAAAGACAGAAGTAGAGAAAAAATAATTAGATGATGTGTGGGGAGGCCATTCTGTTTAAGAATTGTGCTGCAAGGTAATCATTTAAAATTTAAATGATGTGTTTTTTTCCTCCACTTTTCCTTTGTTAATATTAGTGATGGATATGATGAAATATGATTTATGACCTCTTATGTAACTAATGCATTGTTTTTAAAGCGTAGGTGTTTGTAAAATCATTTTTTAATGTGATTTTGTAGAAAATATTGGATATATCTTTTAATTTGAATCTATGTACTTTTGGAGGCATATACAAGGTCCCATATGTAATTTCACCCATGTACTGTTGTACTGTATTTATCTGTTTTGCCTACTATTTTCGAAAATCAGGTCCTGTGTTTCTAATAGAAAAAGTTGCTCCTTTCCCTATTAGAGCAGATTGGACCACACTTTATAAGGGATTTTTGCCTTCCTTTGGATAAACTGCGAGTTTAAGTTGTTGTGCATTCAAGTTTTTGATTTAGTTATCCATTGTTTTGATGGTGATCTCACTGGATATATGTCTTTTTTCAACTTATGTAACTACAGGTATGTTTCATTCAATAGCTCCCTTCCTCCCAAGGTTAACTATGTATCACTTGACTAATAATTACATCAGCTGTTGCCTCTGAAAAATACTTAGGTACATTCTATCTATTTTTACATACAGTAGGTACATTTACAGCTTGGTCCAATGTAACTATGCATATACCATACCAGTGGGATCCTTTTGGAAGCATGAAATCACTATAGTAGGCGCCAATACTGCAGTGGTATCCACTAGTTTCTGGGTCTGATTACCACAGGACCCAGAAGCTAGTGGAGATCCAAATAGTAGCGGCTCCTACTATAGCAATTTATAGCTTCTGGGGGCATCAGCCAGGTATGGCATAAGCATAATTACATTGCCCCAAGCTGAACCAATGTAAATATGTGAAAATATCCATACCTGGATTTAATCTCTAAAACATGACCTATTGGGAATAATTAAAGGCCAACCCCATTCTAGAGATTGGCACTATAGAAAACAGATCTAGAATTGATAACTGCAGATGTTAAATAACTTAGAATTATGTGCATAGATTGATGTAAGTTCTCATGAGCAGGGCCCTCCTAACCTTCTTGTTTTGAATGGTATTGTAACTGTACTGTCTCCCATTACATGGTAAAGCACTGCACAAACTGTTGGGGCTATATATAAACCCTGTACAATAATAATAAAATAATATCTAGTTTCTCATTCTGGGGTAGATGAGTTAGCTTTCTAATCTCCAGACCTCAAATGTACAGTGGTGGCTTCCAAGTGCACTTTTATTAACAGAAGTAATAGATGTTGGAAAGAGTAACAGAGGGACACCAGTGATAAATTTACAAGCAAAGTACATGGCATCTTAGCCAACTGTATATGCATAGGTTTAGAAAAGCTATGGTCACTAATAGATTTTTCTTTGTTTCCTACAGGAGTCTTGAGGGAATTGAGATCCCAAATATTCAAAGAAGAATGTTCATGCCGCTCAAAAATCTTACTCACATGTATGCAATCTTTTCTAAGATGACTTACTTCTATATAGCAACTGTTATAAAATACACAACACATGTATGGGTTGTCTGGATATGAAATATATATTTAAATCCTCAAACAGATAAAGTTCCAGAGCCTGTTGATTAGCCCACAGCTTTTTCATCAGGTATACAAGTACCCAAGTCTGTCTCTGCAGTATATCTTTGAGTTGGATTAAATTCAAAATAACCAAGCAAAGATCACAGTTATAGCTCATTCATACCTGCTGCAGCCTTTTTGACCCCTCTGAAAACTGGCTTTAAAGCAGTGGCTGGGAAGCGTTTCGGAGGGGATACTTTTTTTTTCACAGGGGAATGGACATTTTATAAGCAAATACAATGCCGCAGCCAGGAGCCATGCATTTGGTTTGCAGTTGTGGCGCAGCCCCATTAACTTGAATAGGTTATGTCTGACAGCGGTACTGACTGCCGAATAGGACAGCAGGTATAATTTTCCATCAACATGAAGCAAAGCATTGCTGGCTGTGGCATGTCTACAGCCCATAGCATCAGCAGGTTACCTTTTGGTGTGTAGTAAAACTACAACTCAACTGCCTGTTTTGCCTCTGCACATGTAAATGAGGATTTTGTATCTTCATTGTTTTCCACCTGTATGACCCAATTTACTGCTGTAAATGTGTCAACCATCACTACAATTGTAATACCCCAACACACATACTTTATTCCTGAAATATTCGTACTTCCCTCTGATGAGTAGGACAAATTGCTAAAAAGTTTTGATTTGTACAATGTACCTGTATTTTATTAATTTACCTTTCTATCACACACAGTTACTTTAAGAAGTTCCAATACTGTGGATTTGCACCCCATGTGCGCAACTGCAAGCCAAATACAGATGGTATTTCATCCCTGGAAAATCTGCTTGCAAGTATCGTTCAGCGAGTGTTTGTGTGGGTGGTTTCACTGGCAACCTGCTTTGGGAACATCTTTGTGATCTGTACACGACCGTATATTAGGTCTGAGAACAAGCTACATGCAATGTGCATCATTTCCCTTTGTTGTAAGTAATAAAGTAATACTTATTATGACACTTTGGTTTCAATCATTAATACTATTAATTAATTAATTAATTAATTAATACTATACTATTAATACTATTAATCATAGGCTTATTACAGTATTATATATTACAGTATAAAAAAGCAATGTGTAAAATGCAGTAACATGCAGCCAACAACATTATCACTAATCGCTAATAGTCTTTTCACTACTGACTAAACACAGGGCCCATTTACGCCTATCATGCACTTTGTGCATGGTGGCATGCATTACTTTAGAGCAGCCCTAATCATGGCTTAACACAAAAAAAAAATATTTGCACTTCTATTGGCCACTGCACAAAGCATTCATACCTATGTTGTGTACTGAAGGGCAGGTGTGTTTATTTATACTGTATATACAATGTACATTGAGATACCATTCAGAATAAATGTCAATCTATATTGCATATTGTGGTGTGCATGTTAACATGCACACTAATGCGTTTGTAAATGTGAATCCAACCTAAGTGATGTAGTAAGTTATTTCTCTTTATATTTAGTTTGATACTCTGAAGTTGGTTTACAATCCATGTAATGCCAGCTTTAAAATGCTCCATGACTCCCCTGATAATTGCATGCATTGCAGGAAACAATATCAGTTGAATCAAGCAGCTGAAAATATCTATGCAGACACAGAAGTATGTGAATAAAGTACTGTATGTCAGGATTGGCCACTGCAACCAATAATATTCTAGTTGCTTTTAGAAAAGAAAATGGAAGTTAGCATGATCAGCAGTGGAAAAACACATTTCTTTCAGACATTTTTTATGTGATGGATTGTATATGTAGCACTAGTTGGGTGCTAGTAGAAAGGCAAATTTAGTTATTTTGGGTTCCACCGTAGCCAAGTGAGTGCTTGGATTGTTTTTTTCTACTCTGGATTCTGCAGCTGCAGGCTTGCTTGTCTGCCCCTGTCTTTCCAGAAAGCTCTGGAACATAGTGGGTGGAGAAGGTAGAGCCTGAGCTGGCCCTGTATACAGCCTCAGCAAATCCCTGGTCAGGAAAGTGACCAGCAGGGGGGGTGAGAGAGGTATATAGGGACTGGAGCAGAGAGTAGCAGGGTCCTTTGCCTGCTGGAGATTGACCCAGCCTGGAAGTACTGTTAAACCTTCTAAGGCTTAGAAGATGCTTTAGGAAGTCCTGGATGATTCTAGCTCACCAAGGAGCTGAAGGACCACCCCAACACCAGGCCAACATCCAAAGAGGATCTTCCTGGGATACTTTTGTGCCAGTGTCAGATGGAGCTGGAAGAAGGCCTTTCAGATTTCCTGGATAAAAGTGAGTAGGCCTTAGAGAATTCTCAGGAGAGAGACTGTTGCCTGTACACCCCTTTCTGTTAGAGGGACTCTTCCAGACCTGCTGCCAAGGCTGTGCCCATAGTGAAAGTACAAGGTCCTCTGCACTGAGTCATTACTACTTATTGTACAGAGACCTTTGTTTTACTGCAGTCAACCGTTTCAAGATAGTGTCCTCATCCAAGTTGTTTAGTTCTGGGCATCCCAAAGTTTTTCCCAATCCCTATCCCAGTTCTTCAAAACAAACAAATAAACAAAAACAAGACACTATTTGCCTGATCACTGTCTGAGGACTAAATGAGATTTAATGCAAACTGGCTGAAAATACCCCGCACAATGAGACCATACCACAGAAGGTTTGCGCTATAAATGTGAAATCTATTTTTTTATTTCTTGTTAATCATGTAAGGCCGAATTACTTGCAGGGAAGTGGAAGGAAGCAAGAATATGTGTCTACAAAAATTACATTGGTTTAGGAAAAAACACATCTTTGATATGTTCAGCTATGATCATTTCCTAGAATGTTAAACAAAATGCAACTCTAAACCAATCTGTAACATACTGTATATAACTAAAGAAAACACAAGTATTCTACTTACCAAATATAGGTAAATTATCTATCTATCTATGTCTCTATTGCAATTGCTATTTTAAAATAAACCTGCTTTATGTCCATCAGGTGCTGATTGCCTAATGGGAATATATTTATTTGTCATTGGATATTTTGACCTGAAATATAGAGGTGAATACAACAAGAATGCTCAAGCCTGGATGGACAGTACTCAGTGCCGATTGGTTGGATCATTAGCCATTCTGTCTACAGAGGTGTCAGTCTTACTTCTTACCTATTTGACTTTGGAGAAATACATCTGTATAGTGTATCCGTTCAGATGTCTTAAGCCTGGAAAATGTCGTACAATCATAACCCTGATACTCATTTGGATTGTTGGGTTCATTATTGCATTCATACCTCTCAGCAATGAACATATTTTCCACAATTACTATGGCACAAATGGGGTCTGCTTCCCACTGCATTCGGAGCAACCGGAGAGTACTGCAGCACAGATATATTCTGTCATTATATTTCTTGGTGAGTAGTACCCATTACACAATTTAATGTCTACCATGACATTATTATAGCTTATGCTTGAATTAAGAATACTTTATATTTTCCTTTAAAAGCCTGACTCAAAACCAGTACTTACCACATATCAGCATTAGTGGGTTGTGATGGGTTACACTGTGTCTTCTCCCAGGACCCCTTCATTATATTCTCTCACGTTTCCTGCTGCATTCATAAGGCAAAATATATGGCTACTCAGAATAATCCAGGAGTAATTAAAACTGACCAACAGAATTCTTATTGTGAATGTAATTTTCATTCATAAAAAGTCATAAATAATGTTATGAAAACAGTTTCAATTAAATTCAAATAGCAGGTCTTGACAAAAATGTAAGGGCTTTAGAACAAAATTGGTTGATGGTACAGTATGTCAGAACATTCTGACAAACGAATGTTTAAGATTTTCCATACCAACATTTGAATGACTATGTATGGCCAGCTTGAGAGTGAGACCCCTCATATTGATGTTAGCAGGTGGGTGGACCTATGAACTCTCCCATAGAGACCCAAAAAATATAAGTGGGTCGGGAGATTACAAGCAATATTTCCCTCCCACTTTACCTCTCAGCAAAAATCACCCCTCCCCCAAAAACATATTCAGCACAAATCTGCATTTTCACCCCCAAGGCCAAATTCCCACTGCAAGTTAAAAGCCCCCCCCCCCCCCCCAAAAAAAAAAAAATGCCACCACCACAAATCCTCCTCACCCAAATTTCTCCTCCCAGCACAAATTTTAACATCACCCACATCCCCCCTTCCAGCACAAATACCTTCTCCTCTCTCTCTCCTCTCCACTCCAGGCATAAATCTTTATTACCCCCTCCCCCAGTTACAGTCCCCAAGTAAAATCTCCCCACTCTCAACCTAAAGACTGTTCTTCCTCCCAGGTTCCCCTTCTTCTTGTGTCACTTGAGAGACAAGGAGGAACATGGAAGCAGCTTCACTCAAGTCAATTTCTCTCCATTAACATGCTAATTACATTTTTAAATAAAACCTTTTTGTTTTTTGTTACATACCTTATTTTAGACCATTGACATCCTCATTTTCCACTGTGCTTCTCTTTGCAGTGCAGGTCGATCATTGCTAGTGGAGAGGCCAATAGGGTGCTGTACATAGCTTTCTGAAAACATGACAACACTCAGTTCTTCAGTATTTCTCTTAAAGTAAACCTGTGTTCAGAAATGCACACTAAAGTATTTACATATTCTAAACAGTGTTTCAGAATGTAAAGCAGTGCACTTGCTTCTTCGGAGTGCTTGCAGGGTGGGGTAGGAGGTGTATGGGATGCCCAATGGAATCGAGAACCCAAGAACAACTTCCTGGAACTACTTACAAGTCTTTACAGCAAAACAGTCTCTTTTAGAGAGCTAGTCAGCATCTCTTGTAGTACCACCCCAGACCCCAGATAAATCCTGTTCTTTACCCAGCTGTGTGGAGGAATACCTGAGCAGAGGATCTGGTGTCTGCCACAAATTTAGTGAAACAGTCCTGGGTGGCAGGCTAATCCAGCTTTCCACTAGACTGCCTCCTTCCTCTTGCTGGCCCGGGGGTTTACTTACTCAGTCCTTCTCCTGTGCGGCTGGTGGCTACTAGGCTTTTTAGCTGGGCCGCTCCTTCCCTGCTATTACAGGTGATCCTCACTCTGGGGGCCAGTGAAGGCCTGAGCTTTCCTCCTTCCAAGCTCCACTGCTTTTTGGTGAGCCCCTCTCCATTGGGCCCCCTCACAGGCTCCTGCCTTCAGCCTCACATACTCTCTATCTTCCACCCAAACTCTCCTGCAGCTGAGCAGGCCCCCTTACTCTTAAAGGCTATCCTGGCCCCTTGCCAAGCCTTCTGTTGTGGATTGGCCAGGATCCTCCCAAGAGTACAGACTAGCCACTCCTTAGATCCACCCACTGCTTCTAGACCTTTCCCCAAAGTTCTAGAGCAGGAGGAAATTCCAGAGGGCTGGTCTGCAGAGCCTCTCAGCCCTGACTATAATTTGACCTCTACTAGCTATCACACCCAGGCTGCTATCCAGCCCCCCTTGTTAAGAATTGAAGTCTAGATCCCCCTAGCTGACTAGGAGGGTGCTATATTCACCCCTTGCTGAAAAACAGCCATTTCCTCATTGACTTGGGGAACAAGAACGCAAATCTTTTGGCGGAGCATCCCATGTAAAAAAAGGAAGGGGGAAAAAAGGTACAAACTTGGAAAGGGGATATGTACAAATAAATATTGTAGAAAAAATAGAGAATATGCATAATGTAAATATTTACAGTAGCAGCATATTTAAATCCTGTCTATAGCTGTCTGTCAAATAGCAGGAAAACAAACAATTTCCATCAACATACACTATATTGCCAAAAGTATTGGGACACCCTTCCAAATCAGTGTTCCAATCACCTCCATGGCCACAGGCATATACAATCAAGCACCTAGGCATGCAGAATGCTTCTGCAAACATTTGTGAAAGAATGGGTCACTCTCAGGAGCTCAGTGAATTCAAGCGTGGTACTGTGATAGGTTGCCACCTGTGTAATAAGTCCATCCGTG